GCCACGGCGACGCACAAATTCAGTTTATTTTTGCCTGATCAGATTTAAGTATAAGTAATTTGCGGCCTGAAAGAAGATACACACCCAAACACTAAAATCTCATAGAAGCTATGCGTATTTATTTTCAGTTTTCAAACTGCAGCTCTCATTCCAATAATGCCCAGTGATCCTGCAGTGATGGTTCCTGATACAGGGCTCCTGCATTGTCACCTTGTCCCGTGCTGGCCGAGACTACAAGCGACAGTGCCCACACACATTGCTCAGACATTGTCCTATTAGGAAATTGGTACACAGCAATAATATGCAGCTGATGCTCAGGTCAGAAGTGTCTGAAAAATGTCGGGGGAGATCAGCAACGTCCACATGCAGAAATTAAAAAAAGTAAAAACTAGGGATGCGCTGATACTAGCCGGCTTCATAGCTAATCAGGAAGTTGGGCTGCACGTCATGACCCTCCTCCCGGCTTCCTGATTAGTCGGGAAGCCAGGCTGCCTAGCAACAAGTGAAGCCGGCTTCCTAGCCAATCAGGAAGCCAAGAGGCGGGCCATGACATGCCGCCCAACTTCCTGATTGGCTATGAAGCCGGCTTCACTTGTTGCTAGGCAGTACCTCATGACCCTCCCCCTGGCTTCCTGATTGGTCAGGAAGCCAGGCAGGCTTGGGAAGTGAAGCCGGAGTTCTTTCGTTAGAACACCAGCTTTCCAGGCAATCAGGAAGCCAGGCGGCAGATCTGATACTGATACCAGTGCCGTGTGCCCCAATTAACAGGATGCCAGATGGCAGATCATGGCCTGCTGCCCGGCTTCCTGATAATTGGGGCACACGGCACTGGTATCAGTATTCAGTATCGGCGAGTACCGAAGAAAAATATCAGTACTCATACTTGTTACCGTAAAAACGTATCAGTGCATCCCTAGTAAAAGCAGTATTTTACGAAAAAAGCGGTTTTTCTAATACACACCTTGGAATTCATAAACAGTGTCTCTGACACTGTCTAGAATTGTGTCACCTCTGCACAACAAATGCTGAGCAGGGGTGCGACAAAAAGAAATTCATGTACCTGTCAGAAACACGGAGGCACGGGGAGGGGGGAAGCACTGAGGCCAGAGTATCCATACCATGGACACTGCCCTCAGTGCATATTTAGCCTAAGGGCCACACAAAATCATTGGTTACTGTGACACTGACAGCTGAACAGCATCATTGGTTGTTATGGTGCTGTGCAGACAATAATATCCTAGCATCCAAGGATGCTGTGCAGGTGATAGGGTCATAGCAACCACTGATGCTATGGGTTGATAGTGTCCTGGTAACCACTGACGCTGTTAGCTGGCAGTATTATAACAACCAATGAAGCTGTGGGTCATTAACAACATAGCAAGCAGTTAAGGTGTGGCATAACAGTGTCCTAGCAACGAGCGACGCTGTGGGCCAACAGTGTCCTGGCAACCAATGGGTGAGGCGGGGGAGCAGCACAGTTCTACTTAATTACCCCAGTAAGTTGCGAATTTGTTGGTGAGTTGGTGAGTAAGTTGTTGTGAATTTATTACTGGTATTAATTATGGAACTTCTGCAAACCTTTTATGAAGTTGGCACCAGAGTTCTAGATACAGCCATAATGCCAGAATTGTGTGGCAAAGCCTTTATTGAAGTGCACCTAAAATGTTTTGCCCAACTAATTAAAGTCATCCATTTAGGCTTTAGATCTACTTTAATATTCACCCCCACCCCCTCACATCATATAAACCAATACCCCATATTGACTAGGATATTCATAATAAAATATATTTCAGGGTATTTATTGACAAACAGAGAATTATTTTGGTTTTGTTGGGAATGAACTTGCAATGTTTATGCTCCAAACACCCATCCCATCCCTTCCCTATGATACCATAATAATATTTATAGAGTCTTGTGCGCCGAGCGGCAGGTACATGTGAAATCTCCATGAGACTATTCTGATCCTTGCATGTCATTGCTGAACTTTCTGTGATTTAATTATCCTGAAGCCAGCTTCCTCTGCACACATTCCACAGGAAAGGGATCACCTTCCTTTTCTAAATGACCCGTTTTGCTCTTATTTTATTTCCATACAGAATATGCAATTGATAGAAAAAAGTTGTCTTGGCAGCCATGGCGGTACAGACTGGCCGCGAGCGATATAAGCTCATTGTATTACTGCCCTCCCTTCTGCCCTGCTTCCTGTTTTTATATTGTGTCTCCTGTATATCGCTCAAGATGCTAAACCCATTGTCGTCCCTAAAACTCCATCTGTGTAGCACATAAACAATTCAACAACAGAACCATTATAATGATAAAATCACTTCTATATCGGGCTGCACCAATCTGACCAATCTACTTTGTATGTCATTTCATTATTTTGTTTATTCATTTATGGTTTCATGTTTTATATATTTATTTTCTTAAACACACCAACAAAACACCTAAAATACAAAACTGAAACATATTGAGGAACTGGTAAAAAGTCCAACTCCAGCTTAAACCTCTCTCAGTCTTTTTATTAGTCACCTGTGTCCCCATTGAGGGGATTTCCCCTCCCTTCCTGTTGGGAACACAAATTGCAACATACACTCACCGGCCACTTTATTAGGTACACCTTGCTAGTACCGGGTTGAACCCCCTTTTGCCTTTAGAACTGCCTTAATTCTTCGTGGCATAGAGTCAACAAGGTGTTGGAAATATTCTTCAGAGATTTTGGTCCATATTGACATGATAGCATCACGCAGTTGCTGCCGATTTGTTGGCTACACATTCATGATGCAAATCTCTCGTTCCACCACTTCCCAAAGGTGCTCTATTGGATTGAGATCTGGTGACTGTGGAGGCCATTAGAGTACAGTGAACTCATTGTCATGTTCAAGAAACCAGTTGAGATGATGTGAGCTTTGTGACATTATCCTGCTGGAAGTAGCCATCAGAAGATGGGTACGCTGTAGTCATAAAGGGATGGACATGGTCAGCAACAATACTCAGGTAGGCCGTGGCGTTTACACGATGCTAAATTGGTACTAAGTAGCCCAAAGTGTGCAAAGCACATAGCCCCTCACACCATTACACCACCACCACCACCACCAGCCTGAACCGTTGATACAAGGTAGGATGGATCCATGCTTTCTTGTTGTTTACGCCAAATCCTGACCCTACCATCCGAATGTCGCAGCTGAAAACTAGACTTATCAGACCAGGCTACAAGCCTGTGCGAATTGTAGCCTCCGTTTCCTCAGCTGACAGGAGTGGCACCTGGTGTGGTCTTCTGCTGCTGTAGCCCATCTGCTTCAAGGTTCAATGTGTTGTGCGTTCAGAGACGGTATTCTGCATACCTTGGAGCAGTGGTTATTTGAGTTACTGTAGCCTTTCTATCATCTCAAACCAGTCTGCCCGTTCTCCCCTGACCTCTGACATGAACAAAGCATTTTCATCCACACAACTGCCACTCACTGGATATTTTCTCTTTTTCGGACCATTCTCGGTAATCCCGAGAGATGGTTGTGTGTGAAGATCCCAGTAGATCAGCAGTTTTTGAAATACTCAGGCCACCTCGTCTGGCACCAACAACCATGCCACATTCAAAGTCCAACAACCATGCCACATTCAAAGTCACTTAAATCCCCTTTCTTCCCCATTCTGATGCTCGGTTTGAACTTCAGTATGTCGTCCTCACCACGTCTAGATGCCTAAAAGCACTGAGTTGCTGCCATGTGGTTGGCTAATTAGCAATTTGTGTTACCAAGAAATTGAACAGGTGCACCTAATAAAGTGGCCGGTGAGTGTACTTTTTTCAGTAATTTTGAGAAGGCTTAAAACTTCTGTCAGGCTCTTATTACTGTCTGAGTTTTCTTGTCCCAGTGACAACCAGTCACATCATTTCATATCCTGTTGTCACAAAGACAAGAAGTGAGGTAAAATCTTCCCAAATGTATCCAAAACTTAAAAAAAAAATATAGTTGGACTTTAACTACCAAAATGTTTTTAAAGTAGTACACACTCTTCGGATCCATCAACCCCAATGTAATTTTCAGCTGTATAACATTACTATAAGGGGCAACTTTTTGGAGACTACAGTTCTGCAGGCTCAGTGTCAGTGTCCTACCTCCTGCCTGCACTTTGACATGCTGGTTAACATTACGAGAATTGGAGACACCCACCCAAAGATAGCTTCCTCTTGTAAGTACCGCCAACATTCACATCCATCAGCTTGGCAGAACCGGACTTCCCACAGCAAGCCCAATTCTAGCTCTTAACTGGCCTATGGAAACTCAGTATAGGCCTTGGATAGTTACTGTTCGGGACCTTTGAAGGATCTGATATGGTGGTGAAGAGTGATTTTTATATTTGTCTGCAACTGTTCTTATAAGTGATTCTATGTTTTGCTCATGAAGGGCAAAGTAACAGGTTCCCTTTACAGGAGGCGGTCTCTGCAGCTTTTATTTACTTCCTCCCCACCCTAATCCACCACTTGAGAAATACTTGGTACTTCCAGATGTGGAGGACATGTGACACTCCCCCCGGCTTCCACACAATTTAGTGCTCTGTGTCTGGGTACATAATCGCCTGCCAAGGAATTCTTAAAATTTTTATGATTACAGGCACCCAAATTAATTGCCCAAATTGTCCCTATACCCCCCTTCCCAAGACACAAGTCAAAATGATCATCACGAGTCTGACTTCAAAAGAGCTTTATTTTACATTACTTCTGGATAGTTAGGAACAAGACAGCTTAATAAGAGAATGAGGAATGTATTATATTTATGTATGCAGAGTTACCCCCCAAGGAGCTGCTCTTCGGACTGGTCTTTTTTTTTTTTTTTTCCTCCAGTGATGAGCTGCCCAGACAGAACCAAATCTCACTGACACACCTATGTTTTAAATGGGCTTTATTAAGACATAAAGAGCCCTGTGGGGAGATAAAGGAACAGACACCAAACAATACAACACAGGAATGCAACTAATACAGCTCACAAATGTAAAGGGGGCTAACAATAACAGGAGCCCAACCCAACCCAACCCACCGTTCCAAGGGGCTAAGTTCAGTAAGCTGGCAATGGGGCCCTTGAGCTCCCGTTGGAGTGCTCCCTCTCACATGCAAGAACACTTATAAAGCAAAGGGACAAAAGTCAAAGATCCATGGCCAACTCTCCACATTCAACAACTTTGACTGCTGTAAACAGCAACAGAGTCAGTACTGTACACATGGCCAACAGGTCTCTCAACGCTCTAAAAGGTTCCTCAAATCCTCAGAGGCTGTCTCTCTCTCCCTCTTAGAGTCTTCAGCAGCTGCACTGCACAGTACTTGCAGTAGCTCAGTCCCTGGCAGACACAACGCAGCATTTACCTTGCAGCAGTACAGTCTTTGGCAGGTGCAGTATGGTAGCTGTGGTCACAGGCACAGCAACACAGTCTCTGGTGGTCACAGGCACAGCAACACAGTTAACCCTTAGACTGTTAACCCCTCTTCTGTTAACCCTTAGACTGCCTCCTCTTTGAAGGCAGTCTGTTATGTTTTTTGTTTTACAGCAACACAGTCTCTGGTAGTCACAGGAACTGTAACACAGTCTCTGGTGGTCACAGGCACAGCAACACAGTCTCTGGTGGTCACAGGCACAGCAACACAGTCTCTGGTGGTCACCGGCACAGCAACACAGTCTCTGGTGGTCACCGGCACAGCAACACAGTCTCTGGTGGTCACAGGCACAGCAACTGTGCCTGTGACCACCAGAGACTGCAACACAGTCTCTGGTGGTCACAGGAACAGTAACACAGTCTCTGGTGGTCACAGGAACAGTAACACGGTCTCTGGTGGTCACAGGAACAGTAACACAGTCTCTGGTGGTCACAGGAACAGTAACACGGTCTCTGGTGGTCACAGGAACAGTAACACGGTCTCTACTGGTCACAGGAACAGTAACACAGTCTCTGGTGGTCACAGGAACAGTAACACAGTCTCTGGTGGTCACAGGAACAGTAACAC